CCCACTGACAGTGCTGGATTTATGCACCAACTTACCAGCTCGCGCGTGCAATGCACAGCTACTTACCTCTCCCCCCAATCATCGGTGAACGAAACTGTGGCAGCTACAACCAGTGTACAACCAGTACGCGGTTCTTACAACTGACAATGATGATGATGATGACAACTCAAAATATAAGAAACAGATGCCCCACTCCCGATAGTTTTGCGTAAAACAAATGCGTTTGTAGCCACATCGGGTTCACACTGAGATTTATCTGTTTCCTGAACGTATCGGACGATCCGCCGGCGGTTCCGGTCTACCATTTGCTTTCAGTGCCAACTTTTCTAACCCATGATTCTTCGAGGGAGGCAGCACTATCGACCATAACAATGGACATGCTGGTAGCCTCAAGGAGCTGCCTGCAAGCGGACATGCTGGTAGACTCAAGGAGACTGCCTGCAAAATACCATTGCGGAAAGTAACTTTTACCCCCAGACAGCCTTGCGACGCCACCACTCGTAGCAAGGGGCCTTGCTGCTCTGTTTGACTATTCCCCCTTGGCGTTCCTGAAAGGCTGCATCTTGTGGAATGATGCTCCAGGCAGTATGCCAGACAGAATCATTGCAGCACCATGCCAAGGTGACTACTTTGGAGGTTTGTTTAGGCTCTCCGATCGTCACCAAACCAACAGTGCTATTGCAGTGAACATGTTACCAGTCAACCAGGGCGTCTGAAACATCGTCCGCACATGACACTTGATAGGCCCGTAAACCCTCAACTGGATGAGGACCACGCACAGGAGTTTTCAACCAGTTTCGAAAAAATCGAAATCGTTCAGCTGTGACACCCTTTGGGTACCCAGCTGCCATGCCAACAGAAAAAGGCACGAGGGCTAGGGTACCGCCGGGTTGTTTAAACCTAGACAGGAGTAATCGAGATGCAGAGGTCGGGTTCGAACAGCAGACCTTCCAGTCAGTGAATTGGTGCTCTAACCACTGAAGCATCTAACCCCCAACTAACTTTTTCACCATTCAACGTTCGTGTGAGCCTCTGAAGACTTAAAGCACCGTAACTTTGGTCAATAAACCTTGAGCCTTTTACCAGGGCAGCTGCCGGGGTACTGAGAGTCGTAGTTTCCTTCATATGGCTTAATTAACCCGTAGACCAATATGGCGAGGTGGGACCACCATTGGTAACGGCGAACTAAAGGTCCGAGTAATGTTGCTCTGGTGCTTCATGAAACCTGAATCTACCATGGGCGCCATACAGCCCTAAATTTCGCATAAACTTCAGCTTCAAGTTTGAACGAGTAACAAAACTGCAGGAACTCGGCAGGTTGAAGAGGAAAACAGAAGAGTGATCAACCTTAGTTCCGGCAAACAGACCGGCAGACTAGCGGTTATGGAAAGTGATAGTAATGCGACCGGTTCTTGTAGTCGCCAAACAAATTCGGACCACCGGCTTGATACTTTAAAGAAAATGACGCAGGTGGCCGGGCATCGTTATCACTTTATTTACCAAAAATGAGGCGTTTCTCATTTAACAGCAGACTGTTCAAAGTGTGGTGTGGTAGCCGTGAATGAGTAAAATGTTCAAATGCGCTCAAAAGTCAACTGTAAAAGTGCTAAGGTTCTATTGAGCAGCAAACGGGTCGTATAGATTTCCGAATAGCAGCGGAGTGACAGAACAGTACAGAACTGTGCAGTTTCAATCACCTAATCAAGCAAGCAAGCAATCGAGTGTTCGGGTACAATACCCTTCCGTTACCTAGCTACCATGCTTCCTGAAGGAAACACGAAGGCTGAGATAATGCCAGGTCGTCCAAGTCTGGACAGGAGCAGTTAAGATACTGTTAGTAAATTAGTGCCTTAAGCACTGGGCTAAATCGGTCGATTGCGAGTTATTTCTTAATGCATGCACGCCGCCGCAACTTCTTGTTGTATGGTCACGGTGGGACATATTGAACCCCTATATGACAGCTTCCGTGCCATTTCCTCAAATTATTAGCTGCGTTTCTGCGAGTGTAAGTATACACGATGATTGGATTGTCAGTATCTCCAGTTTAGCACGCTTGTTCAAGATTCTTGTAGCGTTAGTTAGGATGAATAAACCTTTTGGTATTGTTTACTACACTTCACTTGCAGTGTACATCACAGTACCGCTAGTATCAAGGTCCATAGTGTCAGCAACAGCGTGCTAGGCCTTTGGGGTCTCAGCTAAATAGCCTTTGGCAATAGGCCAGCCCTTCTGTCGACTCAATGTTCAACGAGTAATGTTCGAGAATTTTGTGGAGTTATTCTATCCCTCCGTGATTGGTCTGAAAAATCGGCCGATCAGTAATTTCTGCTATGAACCACGTACCAAATCAGAGTGGTACCAGCTGCTGCAGCTCCACTTACCACGAGCTGGAGGCGGTGTCCCGACCTGTTGGCTTCAAACCGTTAGTTGTTCGATATGGGTTGAGTGTGAGAAGGCTACGCATTGAAGGCAAGGTTTGGTGCACGGTCTGCATGGGCTGCGTCATATATCCATCTAAGCACTGCTCTTCCGGATTCTGAACGTGATTTCATCCGCCAGTCATCATCATCATCGACAGCATGATATTAGTGTTACACGCTTCACTGCCTGCTCTTCCGGATTCTGAACGTGATTTCATCCGCCAGTCATCATCATCATCGACAGCATGATATTAGTGTTACACTGATGCTTCACTGCCATACAACGATGTATTTGAAAAAGAATAAAGGTGGACGGGAATAGGACTTAGTGCCAGCTTACTACAATCATTCGGAGGTGTCTACACCTCCAAATACTAATGCAGACAATCTGGATAGAAACTGACAAGGTCGCCACTGACATCCTGTGGCGTCTCCAACCAGGCACAGTGAGGATCACGCGATTTCCATCCTAGAAGGCGAGTAGCGCCTAAGCGTTGCATGATTTCTTCCATACCCCTCTGCCAGATCAAGGGTTGGCCACCTCTCTGCTTCCGCCGCTCTGAATTGGGCATAGGGAACAGCACTCTCTTCGGCAAATAGTGCTTAGCCATACGCAATATATGGCCTACCTAACGCAAATTCTAATGCTGGATACGTTCTCCAATGGGAATTCCTGCTGCATAACCGAAAACTCGCTTCCTAATTGTCGCCTTACGGACTCGCCGACACCAACCCATACGAGCTATGGTTCTGAGACTATCGTCAAACAACTGAAGACGTCTCAGTTCCGCTGCTCGAACACGCCAGGTTTCACAGCCATACAAAACAGCTTGATACACATGTCCCTTGACTTCCAATGATACCACTTTTTTCCTCAAATTAGCAAACGTGGCCCGAGCCTTGCAGATTCATGCATTGGCCTGTCACGTTACAATCAGGAATAATACACCTTACAAGGTGCATAAAAATCTCTACAACTTCCAGTGCCTCTCCCTGGATGTGGCATGTTCAGGAACTGCAGGTCCAGGAGCATGACCTTTGTAGGTGAAAAGTGCATACCAAAGGAGGGATGACTTCCAGGTTTCACAGCCATACAAAACAGCTTGATACACATGTCCCTTGACTTCCAATGATACCACTTTTTTCCTCAAATTAGCAAACGTGGCCCGAGCCTTGCAGATTCATGCATTGGCCTGTCACGTTACAATCAGGAATAATACACCTTAAAAGGTGCATAAAAATCTCTACAAATTCCAGTGCCTCTCCCTGGATGTGGCATGTTCAGGAACTGCAGGTCCAGGAGCATGACCTTTGTAGGTGAAAAGTGCATACCAAAGGACGGGACTTTGGTCAGTTCATCCAAAAACACTTGCTCCTTCGTTCTCCTCCTCGAAGCTGAGAACGACTATATATACAAGCATAGTGCCTGCTATCGTCGCTTCCAAGCGGCATGAACCCTACGAAACGAAGACCACCGAATTTCGTAATGAGAATCTACCAGATAACATGACAATGACCACTCGTTAAATATTTGAAACAAAAATCCAAATCAAGACACTAGTGGCCTAAAAGTGTATCAACGCAATGTGGACTCGTCCTTTTGGTTATTTCACCAATTTTACTGTTTTCAAACTCTCAGAGGCTCTCATCTCTCCAGCCCTGGTATTCGAAATTATATGCTACTTCGTGATGATATTGAAAACTTACAATTCTAGGAACCACTCGTCGTTGAAAGTTTCATGCCAATTGGTGGAATTGATGCTGATTACTTCCCCGGAACAAAAAGCACACAGTATGAAAGGGGAAAACAGCACACACAAGACAACCATATCTAGCGGTATTATCACGTGAAAAACCAGCTGGCTCCAAGGGTCCGGTAAAACCATGGTATTAAGTTCAAAAAATTCTGTATTCAAATTGCATTTGGAAAGCTTTCTGTTCAGGCTCCATCTACTTATCCGCTCATGAATACCCTTGACCTCTGATGGAATGTATGCCACATTCCCATTCGGACAGGTGCTTATTCAGCATGCACAATTTTCTCCAAGATTGTTGCGTGGTGAATAAAGCTTTAGTCCTAATAATGTCGCACTCTGCAAGAAAAACTCTTCAAAGGACAATAAACTATTATAAACGGCCTTATCTTCGTTGGAATCCGTTTTAATTAAACCCCCTTCCCAGGTCTGGTGAGCATTCAATTTTACGGCTGCAGTGGCATGACCCACGCCGCCTCTCAGCCGCCGATCTCGATTCTTCTGAATCATGCCACAGCTTGAGATATGCCCCCGGATAAGTCAGCTGAGAGATCGCCCAGTAGACGCATTTGATAAAGCTTTTAGTGAAGGAGAATTTCACAGTATTTATACGTGTAGCATGTAATCGGTGTTACGATTGGGTATAACACAAATGTAAAATGCGGCAAAATAACGGAAAGTCCAGAGATCCGAAGAATCCAGCAAGCTGAGCGAGTTTGCTGATTACATGCAATACAACCATCATCGGCTGTCTAGTTCGTATTTCTCTAAGTAGACCCAAAAACCACCTCGCAGGCACCACTTGTTACCGAAAAACACCCATGTGCGATCGGCTTCCGGTAAATCCACGGCCATCGGATGGGGACTTTTTCACGGATTCACGGATTGATACACAGGATCGAGGCTTTTGCCCAAGTTTCCCGGGTCGGTTTTGTTCTTGTCCGTCAGTGGCTGTCGTTCACCTGAAAGGCACAAGTGAAAAAAGGGTGTAGCACTGCTCTTTATGTTCTCAGCGCGGGGCAGTATGCTCGCCAGCGCGAGGATTCGCATAAATAAATGTCTAATAGTGCTTTAAATTGGGTTCGAGAAGGAGCGTGTACAACCGTCGGAGGAAGGTCATTCCACGCAGCTACTACCCGAAATGAAAAAAAGTTTTGTCTAACGGATGTGTGTGCCCTGAGCTTGAAGATTTTCTTACTATGTCCCCGCCGGGTGTTTGCTGGGTCAACGGTAAAAAACCTGTTTGCCAAGCTTTGTTCAAACAGGGCGTAGGTAAGAATTAGGTCCCCTCGGAGGCGACGGTACTCCAGGGGAAAGAGATCAAGCGTCGCGAGACGCGTTTCGTAGTCCACGGACTTGAGGCCGGCAACCATTCTCGTGGCGGCCCGCTGGACACGCTCAATGAGGGTAACGTCTTTCGTACGTCCTGAGTAGACAACTTGGTTGGCGTACTCCAGGAGCGGTCTGACGTAGGCCCCATAGAGTATTTGGAAGTCCATGCGAGTAATACGGGAGAAGGTACGTCGGATCATCCGTAAAACGGCGAATGCCTTTTGGGCCGATTTCTCATGGTGTAGTGCGAAGGACAAGTTTGAGGAGACCCAGATGCCTAAATCTTTTTTGGCATCTATCCTCATGATGTTTTCTGGTCCCTTTTCACCATGCATAACAAAGGCATTCGCTGAATCCCCTCCAAACGACACATGGACGCACTTTTCATCATTCAGAGGAAGGTGCCAGTCCAACGACCACTGCTTGGCAGCGTATACATCCACTTGGAGAGCACTGGCATTGAAAGTCCAGGATTTCAAGTCGTCCGCATAAAGTAGACATGGACTCGCAAGAACGTCTGGGAGGTCGTTGACGTAGATCAGAAACAGGAGTGGTCCCAAGACGGAGCCTTGAGGAACTCCAATGGAGACCGGCGCTGGAGAGGAATAAGTTGAGCCTATTCTCACTCTGAATGACCTGTCTGATAGGAACGCCTTGATCCAGCGATGGATTTTCCCTTGAATCCCGTAAGACTCGTGTTTGTGGAGCAGCGGGACGTGTGGGTCCCTATCAAATGCTTTTGAGAAGTCGAAAAATATGGCATCCGATATGAGTCCTTCGTCCTTGGCTTGGGTTAAGCTGTCCATAAACACGAGCATGTTTGTTACGCAAGAACGGTTTGGGAGAAATCCGTGTTGAGCTGGAGATATCAGATTGCTGGAAGTAAGGTGATCTAGGATGGCTCGCTTCGGAATGCGTTCCATCACCTTGCACGGCACGCTAGTGAGGCTTATAGGCCTATAGCTGCCAGGCGATAGTCGGTCACCTTGGACGCCTGAAGTGCCCTGCCCAATTGTGAAACGCCGTCATGGGAAGTGCAGCAGCTTGAAGCCAGTGAATCCGGTCAGGTCGTTACTACCACCAAAAATGTCGGCACCTTTTTTGAGAAAATGACGGATAGTTGGGTTTTATTTTTTCAGGTAATATACATTCGGGCCCGGCAAAGTTTAGCAAGCCGCACCACTAAAGCTGCTCAGTATTAGCCCGATGGAATCGAATTCTATATAATGACTGTGCTTTCAAGGTTATCTCATCATAGTTAGGAATGTCAAGTAGGTTGTCCTGCAAATTCTCCGTACGCGGAAGTGAGAAAATCTTGGTAATGATGACAGTTTTATTTCCTTACTTGCAAAGAACATGCAGATAGAGGTATGATCGGGTCGCTGCAATGGGAACGCGGCGAGCAATGATAATGGAGGAGAGTACAACCAAAGAGGAATGCTTATTACGTGAAACGTCACCGCGGCCGTGGGAACCAAAAGACCAAGGACAATGGGCAAAAGGTAGGACTAGCTCAGTGATGAAACCGGTTAACGTGATTAAAAATGGAAACCGTTACTGGCCACGATTGACCTTGTGCGGTTGAGTAAATGGCCAGGGTCACAAAATGCAAAAATTTGGATGTTAATGGACGAATCCAAAGTGGAAACAAATGGCAATGTTTCACAGTGAGGCAAATTGGGATTGAGGGGAAAGGGTAATCCAAAATTTCAGGTCGGTTAAATCCGGAAGAAAGGTTAGGCGGGTTTGGATAAACTCGTCCTAAAGGCCGTTGGGACTGGGTGAACAATTTGCTGGTAGTTGCAATTACAGGCTTGAATGAGAGAAATGTGACGGTAGAAGTAGGGGGAAAAATAGTTGTAAGTTTGACATCAGATCGGGTGTGGCATTAATATATAATCATTGCACTGGCATACTTCGGTTCCTGGATGACCCCGTGGCGGTCATCAAGGTTGCCGCAATGGGACAGGGGATACGCGTTTCAATGGCAGCTGGATCTCGGTTGGACGAAAAGATTGACACCGGTATTGTCAGACTGGTATAGAGTCAGGGGTCTTTTTGCTTCACGTGATTGATCATGCGGTTATGAACTAGAGACCAGCTATATTAGATAGATGATGGTCATACGAAGTGATGGAGGAAGTGCTTGGTAAGAAGAGGGAATGAAGTAAAAATAGGCTGAAAACAGTAGCGTCTTCCAAGTGCCAGAAGGCGTCGGATGGAACCCTGTCCGATGGGAAAACAGTTTGGAGGGGATTACAGCAAGCTAAATGAACCTATTAAAGGCTGGGTTTTGTTGGTCAACCTGGCAGCCGAGGACCAGTCGAGGTTGCCATTAAGCAGGACGACACAATAAATAATTACTGGTGGGCTTATACTCCGCATGTATGCAGTAAATTCAGACCCAGACTCAGGAAACTAATACTGGTGGTAAGAGTTGCGTTCCGTGTTTGCGCTGAGTGCCAGTCAATCAGACGGCGCAAGGCCAGGGCGAGGTCAGTTGAGTAATTTTGGGAAGGTGAAGGCATACCCGCTGACGCATCGAGCAAAGAGGCCAGAAGTCGCAATATTTGGTACGGGAAATGAAAGTGTGAGATAGACGGGAACTTAGTTAGTTATTATGCCAACTTATGAATCCATTCAGTGGGTCTCCGTTGTGCCAAGTTTGTGTGTAGGGATTAGTGTAAAGAAGGACAACAGAAAGATAATGATCCGCTGAACGAGAGCCTCTGGGATGATGAATAAAAACCGTAGTGTAACTGGAAGCTATTATATTACTGAACAACAACGCCAGTCACTTGGTCAGTGCTGTCAGCTCCGAGCAATGAATGGAGCGTGGCAAGTACAGTAAAAAGGTGTTATCCGTAACCTCTGGTATAAGGAAATGATAAAGACTCTATAGTTTACGTACATAAATGCAAATAAATGTAAACGGCAGCGTCTGGCACGTCAACGTTATCCGAGAGCCTCGCAGAGTACCCTGCTCATATTTTTCTGAATGAACGAAAGGACAGCTGTCAATCGCCTGCATTTCTTGGTGTTTCCAAATGAATGGCAACCGGGACATGTCGAAACTAGCTACGGACAAACAAAAAACACTGGTTCTTCACGGATTATTGGAAGCACCGGTAATAAGCAAAGCACCCGCGCTTCTGGTGTACACAAGCGCAACGTAGTGCAACGTAACAGAGTGACCCACCCTGCAGGGCGTACTCGTCCTCCCTTGCTTTACCCACACACCTGACTGTTCAGCTCACAGTTACTCACCAGATCACGAAACTCGTCTTTTTTCTACACTCAAACCACCTCACACAAAGGTGGCTCAAATGGCGTTGGCTTTCTCCACCGTCAAGTAATCACAGGAACAAGCGGTATGCTGAAACAACTACGTACACACTAAACGTACCTACATATCGGAAAACCGAATACATTTAAAACAGATTCGCGCGTGCGGCGAGCAGGAAGTCAACCACCTCCCACAAATCCACGGACAATTACGGAACAGGCGTAGCAGCTTTACAACGGAGAAAACACGTTCCGCCGTCCGGCCTTTCACCAAGGGACCCTCGCCCTTTTGCTGTGCTCCGTATCTCACATTGCATGCATTTTTATACGTGTGGCAACTCATCATTATCCACCATAGCAAAAAATGATTATTGGTGCATACACCTGAATTATTCTACGGCTACCACAACCTGCGCGTTAATACCACCATACGAGGTTTCCATATCGCTTGCATGCTTTCAGATCTACAGAATGACAAGCCACTATGCAATCGTAATTACGGCTTGTGCGTTAACAAATACCTCCAGCTACCAGACACTTTGTCGGATAGGGGGAACCCAGGACAGAAACGCTGCTCATTCAGTTCGAACAAGGACAGTTAGGGTGAGGGTGCAAATTGGCGAGGCTTGAGGCTCATTTCAGAGAAAGCGTCTTCTGTAAGCTGTGGCGTGGAAAGACGCTCGGCTCCTTCTCTAGATGGGCAAGAGCCGATGACGTTTCGAAATATACATAGGAGAATATAGTACGGATGTGGAAGCAGGTTGTTCCATAATTCGGAATATGGGTGAAGAAAGATGTTTCGTCGAAAGACAGTTCGACAGAAGGAGGGAAAATTCAGAGTTGCGGACATTATAGAGATTGGAGGGAAAAGTCATGACGGTAGACAGCTATGTAAGCCCGTCGGTAGATTGGATGACGAATGGGGCCTAGGTTTAACTTAATGGGTCTCAGCCATAAAGGCGCTAGCCAAAGTGATAAACAGCGAAGATGACATGTAAGTGTGGACGTCACCGAAAAGAAAAACTTAGGGATTGAATGCTGCACATTCTCCATAGCAATCCTGCCTAACTCTGAGCGCTGTGAGGCAAATTCAGGGCTGGATTTCAGAATGGGTCCTACAGACTGCTTAAAGATGGCAATTAAAAATGGTTTACCGTAGAAAGATCGGTGAACGAAGGCCCAGTACTTGCGTGTTTGAAAAACTAAGCGCACAGAATATCTAAGCCCTCTGTCTTTCA